GAGATGTTGAAGGTTTGTTGCTGAATGTTGTCAGTGGTTGTCCTTCACAAGTTGGATTTTTATATTTTGGAGAAAAAAAATCTGGAAAGATGTATATGAGAGTATTCCCAGTGAGGAGAGAGTGGTGATCGGAGTAGACTTGATGAACATGTTGGTGAAGGAAACAGAGGGGATGAGGAAGTGATGGGCAGATTTGGTGTCAAGGAAAGAACCAGGAGAGATGGTGGTGGATTTTGCCAAGAGGTTGGAAATGTCTGTAGTCAACCAAAAGAGGGAGGAACATAGAGTGACCTATAAAATTGGAGGAAGGAGTATGCAGGTCTACTACATTCTGTGTAGAAGAGGAAACCTGAGGGAGATTGGAGACTGTAAGGTTGTGGCAGGGGAGAGCATGGCCAGACAGCATCAGATGGTTGCGTGTAGAATGGATGTTGTTGTGAAGAAGAGAAAAAGTGTAAAATCAGAGAAAAAGACTAAATGGTGGAAGCTGAAGAAGGGAGAATGTTGTGAGAAATTCAGAGAAGAGCTGTTAAAGGCTCTGAGTAGTAAGAAAGAGCTTCCAAATGACTGGACTACAACAGCAGCAGTAATTCGAGAGATGGGTAGGAAAGTACTTGATGTGTCATCTGGATAGAGAATGGATGATAAGGAAACCTATTACTGGAATAGTGAAGTGAAGGACACCGTTCAAAGAAAGAGGTTAGCCAAGAAGACATATGATAGTGAGAGGACTGAAGAGAGGTGACAGGAATATAAGGAGATGCAACATAGAGCAAAGAGGGACGGAGCAATGGCAAAACAGAAGGCGTATGATGAGTTGTATGGAAGGCTGGACACTAAAGAAGGCGGGAAGGACTTGTACCAGTTGGCAAGACAGAGGGATTAGGATGGAAAGGATGTGAGCAGGTTAGGCTTGTTAAAGAACTGGTAATGGTATCTAACAAGTGAAGAAAGTGACAGGAAGATGGAAGGAATACTTTGAGGAGCTAATGAATGAAGAGAATGAAAGCGAAAGAAGAGTAGAGGTCATAGAAATCCTGGACCAGGAAGTGGGAAAGATTATTGAGGGTGAAGTCCTCAAAACTCTTAAAAGAATCAAGAAGGAGAAGGCAGTAGAACCTGATGACATACCAGTGGAGGTTTGGACATGTCTAGGAGAGATGGAAGTGAGGTTTTGACTCAAATATTCAATGGCATATTTGAGGGTGAGAAAATGCCTGAGGAATGGAGGGAAAGTGTGCTGGTGCCCATTTTTAAGAACAAGGGTGATGTACAGAGTTGTAGCAACTACAGGGGAATTAAGTTGATGAGCCACACGATGAAGATCTGGAAGAGAGTTGTGGAAGCAAGACTTAGACGAGAGGTGACTATTTGTGAGCAGCAGTATCGTTTCATGTCGAGAAAGAGTACCACAGATTCCATCTTTGCTTTGAGAATGCTGATGGAGAAATACAGAGAGGGCCAGAAAGAACTTGTTTGTGGATTTGAAAAAGCATATGACGGGATGCTGAGGGATGAGATGTGGCATTGCATGAGGAAATCTGGAGTGGCAGAGAAGTACCCAAAAAAAAAGGTCACACACTAATATTTAGTTGAACCGCCTTTAGCTTTGATTACGGCATGCATTCGCTGTGGCAATGTTTCGATAAGCTTCTGCAATGTCACACCATATATTTCCATCCAGTGTTACATTAATATTTCACATCCTTGATAGAGAGGAATGAAGGTTTGACAGAGGAGTAAAGGAGGCCATCTGTGAAAAGAAACCGTCCATCATTAAACAGGGGTGGAGGCCTCCATGTTCAACTGTCCCCCTCTTACAATGCTGTTATTGCTAGTATCACTCAGCCCTCTGTGAATAGTAAACAGCCATCAGTGTGCTAATGATCCATTGTTAGGCTGATGGTCCTCCTTGATTATGTGAAAAGTTGGTTTTGGCTGTCAGCAGCAAACTGGTTGATCCACTGCGAGAGGGTGCTATTTCTAAGGCTGAGCTGAATACAGCACCTCAGACTGAGGAAGTCTTGTGGATGAAAGACAAAACGTTTCTACAATATTTTTTTTTTGAATGTCCAGAGGACCAGATTTAACTTTTTTAGAATATCCTTAGATGTTTTCTCTGCTTGATGCATGCCAATGATTTGACCCTTTTCAAACAGACTGACATATTTTCTACAACCACACGATGTGTCTTTCGGCATGATTGTTTAAGAAATGAGAAGCAACTCATTGCAGCAGTTGGGCTTAAATAAGTTGTTGCCAGCTGAAAGATAATTGCCCATGCAGTAATTATCCAATAGGAGGTTCGTACCTATTTGCTTAGTGAAATCCAGTTGGTGACTTTTTGGGGGGGTGCCAAACAGTGTATTTTAGACTGGTACAGGCCATGTATGAAGACAGCAGGACTGTGGTGATATGTGCTGTAATGACAGATAGCTTCAAAGTGGAGTTGGGAGTTTTTTTTTTCATTCAACCTTTATTTAGACAGGTAAATCCCATTGAGCCTCAAGGACTCATTTACAAGAGAGACCTGAAGTGGGAGTGCATCAAGGATCAGCTCTGAGCCCATTATTGTTTGCTCTGGTGATGGACTGAATAACAGATGAGGTCAGGCAGGAATCACCATGGACTATGATGTTTGCAGATGACACTGTGATCTGTGGTGAGAACAGGGAACAGGTGGAAGAGAACTTGGAGAGGTGGAGGTATGCACTTGAAAGAAGAAGAATGAAAGTCAACCCTAATAAGACAGAGTATGTGTGTGAATGAGAGAGACAGGTGGAAAAGTGAGGCTACAAGGAGCAGAAGTCACAAAGGTTCGGGACTTCAAGTACTTAGGGTCCACTGTCCAGAAAAATGGGGAATATGGTAAAAAGATGAAGAAGAAAATCCAGGCAGGATGGAGTGAATGGAGAAAAGTTTCAGGAGTGGCAGCAAAGGTCAAAGGAAAAGTTTACAAAACAGTGGTGAGACCATCTAAGTTGTATGGACTAGAGACAGTGGAAGTGACAAAAAGACATGAGACAGAACTGGAAGTGGCAGAAATGAAGATGTTGAGGTTCTCCTTAAGAGTGACAAGGATGGATAAGATTAGAAATGAGATCATCAGCGGTACAGCACAGGTTGAACAACTAGGAGATAAAGTTAAAGAGGCCAGACTGAGATGGTTTGGACATGTCCAGAGGAGGGACAGTGGGAATATTAGTAGAAGGTTTAGAAATGCAGCAGCCAGGAAAAAGACAAAAAGGGGATATGTGGATGCAGTTGGAGAGGACATGGAGGTGTTGGAGTGAGGACAGAGGATGCAGAGGACAGAGATGGAGGAGGATGACTCACTGTGGAGACCCCTGAAGAGGGAAAAGCTGAAACAAGATTTTTTTTCTCTCTAATAATGGGCATATTGTTCGTATACAGTTTTCCTTCGTTTTTCACTGGTGTTAGGGACCACATCCCACTGTGATTAGTGAAAAACCGTGAAGTTTGGATACAGTAGTCCAAGTAGTAGTAGTTTATTTACATATTTATATAAAGGCGTTTTCAACCCTTCCCACACTCTTGCAATATTCTAAACAATGTTTCTAAACTCTAAACACTCTAAAAGAGCACAGAATGTCCCATGATTTCAGCTCTCTGCCTCATGCTGCACTTTGCCATCTGCAAGCGTTTTCAGCCACACCCTCTTCTCCAGTACAGAAGGGAGATATGACACACTGAAGAAGGAAGCTTCTACTGCAGCTGTGGGCTGCACACAGGTGCAGCAGGTGCTAAATTATTTTAAATAATTTATTTTAAATAGAAATGCCATGCCAATCATATGGCTTATCCATCAATGAGCCAATTGTGTGTCATGTCCAGTCTTATTTTGAAAAACCGTGATGGAGGGAGTCCATGATAAACGAAAGGTATTTAATTTCCAGAACAGAGAAAAACATGCATGCTAGGCTGTTTGGTGACATTAAATTGTTTCTAGGTGTGAGTGAGAGTGTGAATGATTGTTTGTCTATTTGTCCCTGTGATGGACTGGAGATCTGTCCAGTGTGTCCTCTGCCTCTCACACTGGGACTGCTGCATATGGCACCAGTGTTCCCTGCAAACTGGAAAGGCAAAAGGATTGGATACTGGATGGATGAACAGCAGCAGAAAACACTCACAAATCATTCCATATTGAACTTAACAAATCCTTTGACCTCACAAGAACTGTGTGGGTCTAAAAGGACCAGAACATGAGCTTGTTTGCACAAAGTTACAGCTGACTGAACCACACAGAAGCATGGAAGACACCAAAAACACTGCATGTCAACCTCAGTCAGGTCAGGCATGACACAAACTCTTTTATAAATCTGGCAAAACAAAAGGAAGGGAAACCGCAGTAAAGTGACCCTTTTTAAAACGGGTGCATGTGGTTTAACAAAAATATCAAATAATATAGTTTTTCTTCTTTTAATTCAGGGTAAATTTATTTTTTAACTCTCTGATTACAATGAAGCTTGCTGAAGACTAACAGGTGATACCGATCTGTGGAAACCCTGCCAGTAACATCCTGTATGTTATTTAATAACAGATATAAAATATCACTGATATAAATCTAGATTGCGGATTTAATGTTGAAAGTTTAATGTCTCTTATCAGGCCAAACTGCTTGTTGTTCTTTAAAAATGTCGTGTCCCTGAGCTCCAATGGCACCTCCATGCTTGTGTCAGTTTCCAAAAGCACCACCGTTGCGTGCCGGTGTCATTTTCATTTGTTTTCTTTCAGCCCTGATAATTCACAGAACTGAGCATCTCGTGTGGCTTGTAACTCCCTCCGATGAAATCCTGTACAATGCAGACGTTTGGCCTAGGTCACTCCCTGTTAACGGAGCCTTTTTCAGAACTTTGTGATCTCACAGAAAAGGGAATATACTGGGTGTCCTGGGGATTACTTTACTGCTTCCTCAAGTTTATGTTTTTGCTTGAGATTGTTCAACCGTTGTGTTCTGTTAAGAGAAGAAACCAGCTCACCCGATGTTACAATGTGCTGCTGTGACTACCCAGAATCGACTGATCAAGAAGCCCCCACAGAAGTGCTGACGGTTCGTGGTCTGCACCGACACAATGTACTTGATGGAATGTGGAACTGGTGCGTAGCCTCCCACTATGCGTTCCTCTGCAAGACCTTGACCTGAAACATAGGAACAGTGACGATGAAGTCTGATTTACAGAAAGAAACAGAGCTGACACAGTCGGGCTTTCATTTCTGCAGCTGCTGCATCAGCGAGAACTATTCAAGTCATGCAGAAAACAACAAGACTTCAGCTCAGCAGATCAATAAAAAAGTTCTCATCTCAGAGACGCTTCGATTCACAGCGAGGATCAATCTCAGCATCATTATCTGGAGTTAGCTCAGAGACACTGTTTGGGTTTCTGCTTCTTATATAGTCTAAAAACTCCAAGAATATTTCCTAAAATTCAACAGAAATTTATATTTTTATATTGCCTCTTTTTGTTTCTTTACATTATTTTGAGTCATGACCAATGAGATGATAATATTTCAATAAACAAAGACCTGGAGGTTCCCCTTTTTAAAGAGCTACCCTTTGATACTGTGACATCACTTTCTGTTTAACTTTGACCATGGGTAAAATCAAATGTTTTATGCTAAATTTCTTAAATATTAAGATTTTTTTGTCCACTTTTTGTATTTGTAGGATATTCATGTCACAGGCACATTAATATCTTAACAGTAAATAATTTCTCCAAGATGGAGGAATACCACAGGGCTGAAAGCTTTTGCAAACCATTGTCTAACAAATGCTAGTTTCTTGATGGATGAAGTCTTGATGAACTTTCTTAACTTTGAAAAAAGTACTACTTGATATTAATTTCTTCCATGAGCAAACTGCAAAGTGGACTACAGAATATGTAGTCATGGTCTTTTTTTTTTCTGTGTCCAGAAAGTTCAAAAGTGTTTCCGCGCAGCTTCTGTTCACTGTAAAACAGTTTCAGGTTGCAGTCCTGAATGAACTGGTCACTTGTGTTTATTCTCACTGGTTTTTAAGGTACTTTTGATCCCTTGTGGTTATACTGATCACAGTAGCCTGACAGTGTTTTTATGCCAGGCCACCTGAGGGCTTGAAAGATCACAAAAGGCTCCGGCCTGTTCTAACTAAGATTTCCCCTGACTCCCCGAGTCCTTTCACAGTATTTTGTACAGCTGATGATGAAAGACCTTAATTCTTTGCAATTTTGCACAGCCACATTTTTATCTTCTGATTTATTTTCTCGTCTTCCTTTCTTGGAAGAGAAAGAAAGATGGTAAGACAAAGAAAGTGGGGTATAAAAAGTGTATGCTGTTGTGGCATAAATGATAAGGGAGGAAGGAAGATCTAGTTTGTTGAATGTTATCAAGTTATTACAAAAGAAAAATGTCGAGCAGCAAATCCCAGAGATGAGACAAGTCCAAGCAGCAGGATGTGTCTGCTCTATTGGTATAAAGGAACAAGGTCACCGGTGTCGTCAGCTGAGAGCTGAATCATTAACACGTCCTCAGTGTGGAAACTTTGTTACACCTCCTGAGGACCTTTTAATTTGAAGGAACACTTTCAAAAGGAGACAAACGCTGAACTCATGTTTTAGATTTAGTTAAATATCATGCAAAACTATCCATCAATCCATCCATTATCTTTACCCATTTCTTCCCTTTTTTTTGGGGGGGGGGGGGGGGG